TTTTGAATACAGTTTTAACCTGATCCTGACACTGCTCCACTTGGGGAGTATCATGGCAAGATGTCTGAAGAGACTATTCCTAAAGCTTTGTCTTCAGGTTTGAGGCCAAGGCAAAAGGTTTCTGGTCCGTGACATTATCGCCTAATCTTGCAAATATTTACTAAATTTGTGAATGGTAGGGCAACCTAGGATAGTAAAAAACAGGTGGTAGTATTTACAAGATCAAGCTCTATGTTCTCTTTCTGATAGAATAGATGTGTTCTAGATGTTTGTTCTACTAACAGTTCAGACATATTATGGAAAAAATAATCCTCCATAAATTCTGATTGTTTTTATCCTGGGGTAAGTCATTATGGAAAAAATAATCCTCCATAAATTCTGATTGTTTTTATCCTGGGGTAAGTCTGCTATACTTTAATTTGCCTTAAATGTTTAATGATGACAATTGTAAGAATTTTATTCAAATGCACTTGTCTTTCGCTGTAGCCATTTAAAGAACCAGAGCTAGCATTAAAATAGCACTTTTTGGCTAGCTTCAGAATAGTAGTATTTTTAAGGTACCATTACTTTATTATATGCAAATGTGTTCTTTAAAAAGGGAAAGGATCCAGATCATTTATTGACTTGCTCATTCTTACTATGGGTGAGAATAGTCCTTATTTAAATTAAGAATATGCCTCATTTGGAAATGGATGTGGAAAGTTTTATATGCATCTTCAGCTATGAAATGTATGTTCAACTTTGAATTCCTTTTAACTAATTGTCTTTCATTTTGTAAACTTCTGTGCAGAATTGATATGAAAATGTCAGATACTCAAGGAGGATACAAACTTGATGAAGCACAAGCCATTTTAAGTGAAATGAAAGCTATCAAGAAGTTAATCAATTCAGGGGAGAAGGAAAAGCAAGACCTCATTCAGGTACTGAAATAACATTGGGTTTGTTCATGCCATGTCAGCTGCCAGTCCGAGGGAGCATGAAGCTGATAACCTCCTGCTTGTCTGAATCAGATGGCACACTCCAGCATAAGTTCTCCAGGGAGGCTTTTTGGGGATTGTCCCAATTGTCCACTATCAAGCCCTTCAGCCTCTGAGCAATTACAATTCTTGTCTTATTTAGAGATCATGAAGCATAAAAGGAGATTAGCAATTGCCTACATTCAATCACGTGGTCATCCCTGGCTTTTTGAACTGGGGGGAGTGGTAATAAAACCCCAAATCCCTCACCAGCAGATGTCTTTCCTATGGTACTGTTTGTCAAGGATTGGTCACTGTGATTTATTATTGAGGGGTTGGTATGCTTCATTCAGGGTGCTAATGCTGACAAACTGGTGATATTTTGGCTGAGATTTTTGAATGAGAGTTTCATGAATTGTTCTCATTTTAGAGTTTAGCCAGGCTAAAGGATGGCTTTGTGGCTGACGGAGGACAGCATTCCGACCTATGGACCAGCAGTACCTCCTTAGAGGGGTCCAGCCCTTTGCTACCTAGGCAGTATCTGGATGTAAGCTCACAGACGGAGGTTTCAGGAAATGTGAGTAACTGGTGCTACCCAATTGCAAGCCTCTTATTAAGGACAAATATCTATTAGTTGATGTTTAAATCATGAGGAACTATCAGTGGGGGTTTTTTCTTTTGAAATTTCCTTTGAATTTTTAGTGCGTCTCTAATAACAACTTGCTGTTTGCTCATACTCTGCTTTCACTGGCACATATGGATTACTTATTTATAGTATGCTCTCAGAAACAAACTGAATGGAATAAAAGGATAAATATTTTTCCCCTAGGCTTTTCATACAGCATGTATATTCTCTAACACTATATGTCATTATGTAAGGGAATATTTGGAGGCTACCTAGAGGTCACATGTACAGAGATATGTCACTTGGGAATTTGAATGATAAGTAAGAAATGCTAGCTGGGTTTATTTTATACTTTTTCTGTTACAATTTTATGCATGGAAAATTGGCACGTGTAGTGATGGGTGAAGTTCACCTTTGTTTAGAGGATCAGTACAGGATTTTGCACTCCTTAAAAGACTTAAATATCACATTAAGTGGTGGATAGTTCATCTGTTACCTTCTGCAGGAGTGTATTCACTCCTACCTTCTATCATCATTAGTGGCCATTGTAGAATATGAGCAATTCCTCAGAGATTTCAATTTAGTGATTCGCTAAGGTGGATTCGAATGCCTTTTAACAAATGTTCTTAACTTGCAATGGCAGAGCCCCCCTACTCCATGTATTTTGCTTTTTGGTACACAAGACATGGTGACCTCCTCCCACTTTTCTCAGTAATATGTACTAGAAGAGTGCTGTAGTAATGTTAGCACCTGATGTTTTCACTTTTTTATTGTATATTATATAGTACCCCATGAAAAATGGTCCTAATCCTGCCATCAGAAGTGTGCGCCTTGTCAGCACAGAGCTCCCTTCATTTAATTGAGGTTGTGCAGATGCAGGAGAGGGGACAGCCAATGTAGACTGGGTTGTAGGATTGGTGTCTTAGGGTATGCCTACAGCCCAATGCAGTGCTGTGCAGAGAAACCTGAGTGAGCTAAAAAATGTAACTTGGGTAGCAGAAGCAGTATGGCCACCTCAGCATGGGACTTGCCCAGGCTAATACATCCTGTTTCTCAGCAGGGATGTTTGGTTCAGACAGAGTACCACAGCAGTGTAGTTCTTCTGCTTTTGGCACTAGCTAGCTTGTTAAGAAATATCTGGGATATATGTATGTGAAACTGCTGTGTCCTGTGTAGGCATGCCCCTGGTGGCAAATCCTTCGAACACTTTCTTGAGTGTTGAACTTTTACTTAACTTAATAAGGACTATTCACAGGAACGAATGTTTGCAGGTTTGGGCCTACAGATATATCATATGCCTTTCCCTAAAGATTGTAAAAATCTAAACAAGACCAACCCAAAAGTGGACAAAACACAACATTTCAGAAGGGTGTAAAGGTTCTCTATGGTTTTTAATGCATGAGAAAGGGATGGAAATTGGGCATTTATGTGAATTAGTAAGATCTGCTTTCCTTGTGCTAGCAAAGAAAAAGGACTTTACGTCTTGTATTTTTTTTAACATTTATAGCAAATCTTAATATTCAGAAAATATTTTTTCACTCTGGTCAGTACTTGACTCCATTTAATGCAACTGGTAAGAGGATAGCCTTACCCACTTCAGTACAGGATGTCAAAAGGCAACTGCAGCTGTTTCTTTAATACTGTTTTTATATTCTCTCTCCCCAGTTTATTACAAGTAGTAATAATCAGTTAGCTGAGAAGGTGAGATTACGCCTCCGATATGAAGAAGCGAAGAGAAGGTAAAGTGTGGGGGTTTTTTTATCTGTCACTAGTTACTGGGGAGGTTGTTCAGTTTATGATAAATGAATATCTCTGTTGTGGGGTAAACTCCTTAAAGAGTGCAATTAGACTCTGAGATGATAGGTTGCATTCATCTGCAGAGAATCTCTTCCAGATCTTTTGTCTGGTGGCTAATTTGAGGGGTTTGTTCATTTAATGCTTTCATGATTATGTGGAGTTGCAAATGAAAAAAAGTTTGCTAGTAAAATATCTTGTTAATTAACCATAATGCTCAGCAGAGTAAACACACTTTAAAATCATCAGAAAATAAAAGCAGAGGTTCAAGCCTTTGAACTTTTAAAATACTCCATAAAACAGTCAGCAAAAATTGAATTACAAAAAAAAGTAATTACTGCTAAGATATTTAAAATAATTTAACACAAGCCAGTCCTCCCATTTTAACTAATATAAATTCAGATTCTGTGTTTGTAACTAGTTTTGGTAGGGGCAGTGTGCTTTGACTGAAATAAGGCACAGGCTGAAGAATGCTCTAAGTAAAGTATCTGGGTATATGGAGGGAAAGCAAGCATCCTCCAAAACCTTATTTTGCATCACCCAAATTTTTTGAGCAGAAACCTTAGAATTAGGGACTTTCGGAGCCAAATTTCCCCTCAAGCACATAAGAAACAATAAAAATAGCATGCATGGACCTTATGGTTTAATCCTTGATCATGTTCACACCCTTATATAAAGTAAGTACACAAATGAAAAGAGGACTTCTGGTTTAAAAAAGAAAAGGACAGTGATCATCAATCATTTTATGCAAATTTTGTCTGTGGCCCACAGTAATTGCTTTAGTTTTCCATGTAGTTATATGCTTGTGCTCATAGAAAATGCTAACATATCATTAACAGATGCTTCTATCCCAAAGGAGTTTGGCACAGCAAAAGTATATCAGCATATGAGAAGACTGACGGAAATAGTTTCCCTTCTCACACCATGCTTTCTTATTAATGAAAAACCTAAAAAGAATGGGGATCAAGGCATAACAACATGGCAGCTGCCATATATTTCTGGTTGCCACTTCCCCTTCTTGTGCAATTTGTGTGGTGGCAGTGGCAGCAACAGCAGCCATTTCCACCATGCATTCCCCATGCCCCGCTAGCTAGTACTTTAGGTTGGTGCTGTGGTCACCCTACCCTAGTAATGCCACTGGGGACCAATTCAAACACCTAATGCATGTCCTTCGTAATAGAAATAGGTTCAGTTAGTTTGTGGTTTCACCATCTCCCTACCTGGGCAACTAGCTGGCTATGAAGGGCTTCTCAAAAGGTAAAAAGGCTCTACCCCAGCCTTCCGAGGATGATGGCTGTCAACACAATCAAAAGCAGATTTCAAATCAATGAAGGTTGCATCACCTTGACAGAACAGTGTTTTTAGATTGACCTTGAGCTCACAGCCACTCAGGAACAGATGGCTGGCTTGTTTCTCTCCCCACCAGA